GGGACTTTCCTCCATGTCGACCATGGACCATGGAAGTGATTTTTAATGATGCTTGTTATTGTAGTTGTGACCCTTCACTTAAATAAAGTACTTGTACAAGATAAAACAAAATTATTACATATTAAAATATATAACAAATATAACTATATTATTATAATACAAGATAACATACTTCTCCCAAATAGGAGTTATACGTAATTTGTCAGATGGATCTATAGGAGTCTGTAATCCTACACCAGGCCCCCTACCCCTTGATCTTGAGGATGTGTCATCTCCACTTGCACCCAAATTAGTTGATGGGGATCTACAAGAATTATGAGTAGATGTCTCATTTTCTACTTGCTCTGCAAATGCACCCAACAAAAAAAGTAGGCTCAAAGGGCACATCATTATCGACTTGCTGCATCTGTGGTTGAATGGATAGATCAGCAAACACACTAGTATTTGTAGGCAACGATATAATTTCAGAGGCATTTGTTGATCTAGGTCTCGATTTAGAATGTTTCTCTTTAACCATCGTTCCTGTAATTTATTTTAGTTAATATTCATAGATAAATTTATTTTTAAAAAAAGATGAAACAAAGTATAAAAATCATCAATTTACAACAATCAAAAGTAATTCTTTATCATTTGTACAATAAAAGATGCCATTATAAAGTATTCATTTCAACATTTATAAATATAAACCATAATAATTTTATAACATGTCAAGATTTTTCAATATTGTAAATTTAAAGTTAATCAATTGTGTAACAAAAGATATAAAACCAATATGATCTATAGCTACCACCATCAATCACCTTCAGAATAAGCAAACTCATGTTCTTCATTATTATCACTATCATCACTAAAAGTTTCTTTGTCTTCGGCTTCAACTTCATCTTCATCTTCATTTTCATCTCTTTCCATGTCATCTTCTTCATCTTCATCTCTTTGCATCTCATCTTCTTCATCCTCAATCAAGAGATTAACCTCTTTATAATCACCACTTGCTAAATCTGTAAAGTTATCAAGTTCTTCCGATGGAGTACCATAATTGAAATAGACACATATTCTTCGTATACTTCTTCATTCAAATCAATTTCCTTTTCTATATCTCCATTACTAGGAATGTGAAATCTACTCCTAGCTTTTGTTTTAAATACTGCCCACCAATCAAGTCGATCTCTTTTGGTTGATGGATAACTACTATAATAAACTTGGTGAGCTTGTGCAACTAAAACAAATAGTTCATTAGTGGCAAGTATGGAGTTGTGATTAATTTCAACAAGACCATGCAAGG